CCAAGGCATTGCTGATGGGGGAGATTCTCCTGAGATTTCCTACTGTAAGATTGTGTCGGTTCTAGAAATAAGTACAGCTATTACAACCAAATCTACTAGCAGACTAAATAATTAATTGAAGCGTTGCTCTTTGACCCTTGAAAAGTCCAGTAGGGACACGTTTATAGTAATAATACCTCCGAATGAGCCCTTGTCAAATATTCATTTAGTGGTTAATGTGAGCCATTTCCCCCTGGGACCGTCTGTAATACCGGCTTCCCAGCATTGGCAAGAAACCTTGTTAATCTACTACAGCTCAGCAATATTTTAACACTCTTTATTTAAAGTACGGGGGGAAGGGGGGGGGGGGGGGGTGGGTGCAGGGAGAGAAAAAAAATTGCAGAGGGAACAAACTATAACCTCATCCTTCTGCACATTTCTATTCTGTGTAGAAGGTTAACAAAACATTAAATTCACCCCTTTGACTGCAAATTGAATGGTTTTAGTGAGCAGGATAATATCCCGAGGAAGAAACTGAACACTCAACAACTAACTTTAGCACTGGGAGATAATCATCTCTGGGCAAGCTTAAGGGTTTACCCCCCTTCTTGGAAATCATGTTATAATTAAAATATCATATGTTCAGTATTGATCTAGCCATGAAACTACACATCTCGGGGGAACCATTTAACCCAATCAAATGAGTGATGAAATTTGTATCATTTTCCTCAAATGCAGTTTATCGAAAGAATTTATACCTGCAAACAAAATATTCTGGCTTTCATTTGGTTAGGAGATACGGAGGTCTAGGAGGGGGAATGGGAGTGCTCTCGTTTTATGCAGAGACAGTAAGTCATTCAAAACTAGTTCAACTTCCCACAATATTGCTCTTCTCCCTCTTGCAAAATATTTGAACCTGAGCATTTTCCCAAAAAAGTTAAAAAAACAATTTTTTTTTTTTTTTTAGTCAGATCCTGTGGGCTTTTTAAACAGGTAGGTTAGTGCAGTGCAATTACTCTAAACCCCAATACATATTTCTAATATATCTCTACTTTTCAAATATATACACACCATATAGTTGATTGGTTCGAATTCCAGGAATATTGTCCCCACCCCCCAGCAAGATCATTTGGATCTTTATTCAAAGTTTCTTTTATTCGTATGTGTGAGCAAGAACTGGCGAATGTGCTCATTACCACGTGAATAATCCGTATATGCATTACAATGGCTGGCCAGGCCGGGGGAAATTCTTTTAGAGTCTCTGCATTAATTAGGGGGGGAAATGCCTCACTTAGAATTGGGAACTGGCATAATAATTGTCCTTTCCCAGTACAATATTACCCTTAAAATGAGGATTAAAAAAAGGAATAAATAAAAACCAACAAACACGTAAAATAAAGCAATCCATGCGAAATAAAAATACATAAAATATGAGAATATCCTCAGCTGAGTCTGGAACTAACATTAACAACACCAAGAGAAAGAAATACTTCCTTGGAAAACGAGAAGATGCGAACCAACGGGATGAACTAACTTAGTGGCTGCAGCCGATACTTTACTCAAGGGTGAAAGGCGCAGCTGGATTCCAACTTCTCCAAAGTTGTAGCAAGTTCACACAACAAGCCCTTGAAATTGTAGGAAGGAAACCCACGCTCCTAATGCTGGACCCTAGGCTCCTGGTCCCCTTCCGTGGGGGAAGATAAGCGAGGTAAGTAGTGAGTAAAAGAAAAGTCCCGGGGTCGGTCTTTCAGATTCTCTGACTGCGCCACAGTGCGCGGGTCGGTTGCGATGCAGAAACATCGCTAATTCAAAGACCACGGCGATTCCCCAACTTTTGCGCTCCCACTGAGGACAACTATAGTCTTTCTTTACCTTTCCTAGGGCGAAAGAAAACAACAAATCCAATCCTGTTTCTCCACCCCTTTTCCCCTCCCCCTACTTCTCTACTACTGTAGTAAAACATGGTCAACAGATCAAAAGCACAATCATCTCCAAATGTGATTAGACCGGACAAAGTAAAATATCTACCTCAGAGTTGATTGTTTTCTTCTTTAATATGGCTGTTGCCTGGCTTCTCTTTTGCTTGTTATCAGCTGCAGAGATTATCCGATTTGGGGCTACAGGCTTGGACCCGCGCTGCCAATTTAAGAAACAGAATTCGTGGAGAAAGAGAGAGGAAAAAAGAAAATAAATAATAATAATAATAATAATAAATAGCTGTGATAAGTCGGGGAGTTTTGCAAGATGCTCTTTGCTTTCCCTCGCCCCTAAACAGGAAAATGTAGAAAAGAAAGTTTTTGAAGTTAGGGAACAAAGAAAGCAAACCACTTGTTTCTTAGACAATAGCAGGGCCAGAGTAATCCAAACACCCACCCAGCAGATGAGTACTTTGCTTGTCTAGTTTGCAATTATTCCTATACAAGAAGCATCATTTCCCCCTATAACCACGTTTCCAAAGGGCTATTGTGCTGTGCAGAAATCGAAAACAAAACCAGCCAACCTGGTTCTGATTTGGCTCAATACCCCATCTGCTAAGCTACATGAAATTTTTCAGAATTGACTCCTTTCTGGCAACAAGTGGCATACATCAGTTTAAGTCCCCATCATGCTTATTCATGTTGCTTAGAAAACGAGGGGGTGGGTTTACAATATATGTCCCTAGTTTCTATTTTGGAAATGACATAAGCATTTCCATTTTTTCGAGAGTACTTATTCAATTAATCATCCAGCCATTTATTTGTTGCACTTAACATTAGCACATGCTACTGGACTAGAATACCAAGGTTTTAGGTACTTCGCTTTCTTGGCTGAGCACAGTATATTCCCCGAGGAGTTGGGTATAATCACAGTGTTATCCAAATAAATGAAAGACTCAAGCATAATTTCAGTGTCCATATTTCAAAAATTTATTTATCTCAAACTGTGCATAATGGAGTAAAAACTTAAGTTGAAAATGTACCTGTTATAAGGATGGTATTAGTTCAAATATATACATGGATTCTCGGCAGACTGATTCAATAATACAGAGCCGAATCTTTAAAATACAACTACGGAAAATAAAAGGGGGGAAACCTTAAAATATCACAGTAAATTTACAGAAATATTACAAACCATAAGAAAATATTTCAAACACAGTAATTTCATGTTTTTTTTTATCTGAACAAAATGGAAAGTTGGGAAACAAAAAAAGCTATTATAAATTACCAACGATGTCAACCTGCATGGCCATTTTTGCTTTTAACAGTAAGTTAAAAATTTAGTACAATCTAAAACTTTTGCCCCTTTAAAGACCACGGAGATGGTTTTGCCAGTACTTATTCTAATTTTTTTCCTTTTGTACAATTTTTAAACAATTAAAATGTCCAAATCTGATTAATTTTCTTCTTTCCACGTTTGCAACTGTCCTAAATTTCAGCTGAAGAATCAAAATTCAGCAAGAAGCCTCTCCTTGAAAAATATTGGCAAATTCTCAGCTTATAAACAATGGACATTTTGATTGCCATGTTTATCTCGATAAATACTGTACAAAAGTTGCTTGCAAATATTAAAACATTTTTTTTCGTCGCTTGGAGACTAGCTCTAAATATTATTGGTAAAGACTTTTGCAAACTTTCTGCAAAGCTCCTACCGTATCACTAGAACTTTTAAAAAGTTTTGCGTAGTTTTCTTTCCTCCAGATCTATACAAGGTCCATTCCCTCGCCCTCCCCACCCCCCCACCCCAGGTTTTCTCTGTACAAAAATAGTCCCCCCAAAAGAAGTCCAGGATCTCTCATAAAAGTTTTCTTGCCGGCATTGCAGTTTTTGCGTGAGTGCGGATGAGACTGGCGTTCTCTTTTGCAGCTGTCATTTGCTGTGGGTGATGACTTTTTCTTTTTCTTTTTTTCTTTTTTTTTTTTTTTGAGCGTACCGGGTTTTTCTCCTTGGTGTTTCTTGCTCTCCTTCCATTTCCCTCTTTTTCTTTGAAAATTTCTAACCCGCCCCCTCCAGTTCACTGTCCGGACCTCACATGTGCGAGAGGGGCAGTGTGCCGTTAATGGCCGTGCCGGGCACCGGGCCGCTCTGGTAGTGCTGCGACATGTGAAGTCTGCTGGGGGCGGCGGGCTCCGGCACCTCGGCGCCGGGGAGGTACATGCTGATCATGTCCCGGAGGTCCCCGGCCTGGCAGGGCGCCCTGGAGTGGGAAGAAGAGGTAACCACGGGGGGGCTGGAGCTGGCCTCGGACTTGACCACCGAGCCCATGGAGCCAAGAGCCATGCCAGGGGTGCCCTGCTGCGAATAGGACATGCTGTAGGTCGGCGAGCCGTTCATGTAGGTCTGCGAGCTGGTCATGGAGTTGTACTGCAGGGCGCTCACGTCGTAGCGGTGCATGGGCTGCATCTGAGCGGCGCCGTGCGCGTTGAGGCCCGGGTGCTGCGGGTAGCCCAGCTGGTCCTGCATCATGCTGTAGCTGCCGTTGCTCCAGCCGTTCATGTGCGCGTAGCTGTCCATGCGCTGGTTCACGCCCGCGCCGAGGCCGGCGCCCACCCCGACCCCGCTCGCCATGCTGTTGCCGCCCGGGGCGAGCAGCCCTCCCGGCAGCGTGTACTTATCCTTCTTCATGAGCGTCTTGGTTTTCCGCCGGGGCCGGTATTTATAATCCGGGTGTTCCTTCATGTGCAGCGCTCGCAGCCGCTTGGCCTCGTCGATGAACGGCCGCTTCTCCGTCTCCGACAAAAGTTTCCACTCGGCGCCCAGGCGCTTGCTGATCTCCGAGTTGTGCATCTTGGGGTTCTCTTGGGCCATCTTGCGCCGCTGCCCGCGGGACCACACCATGAAGGCGTTCATGGGCCGCTTGACGCGGTCCGGGCTGTTCTTCTGGTTGCCGCCCGCCGCCGCCGCGGTGGAGTTGCCGCCGCCGCCGCCACCGCCGCCGCCGCCGCCCCCCGAAGTTTGCTGCGGGCCCGGCGGCTTCAGCTCCGTCTCCATCATGTTGTACATGCGGGCGCTGTGCGCGGGCCCGGCCCGCCGGCGGTGGGGGGCCCGCGGGCGGGGGGGAGAGGAGGAGGGGAGGCGGGCGGGGGTGTCGGGAGCTCAGGGCTCCGCGAGGAAAATCAGACGAAGAATAATTTGGGGGAAGAAAAGAGAGAGGCAAACTGGAATCAGGATCAAAAAAGCGCTTCCCTCCTCTTCTGGCCGATCCAGCCGCTGCCGATGATTGTTATTATTATTTTTTGGAAAGGCTTAAGCCTGGGGCTCAAACTTCTCTCCCTTTCTTTCTCTCTCCTCTTCTTTCTCTCAGTTCTAGTCTTAAAGAGGCAGCAAACTACTTTCCCCCTTTTGCAAACACTCTCTTCTCTGCCTTGACAACTCCTGATACTTTTTTGAACAAGTTAATAGACAACCATCCATGTGACGGGGGCTGTCAGGGAATAAATGGGTTTCCAGCGACCAATCAGCGCGCGGCGGCTCCTCCACTCGAGCCCAGCCTCGCCGCCGGGTTTTGCATGAAAGGGGGCGGGGCCTGCCGCGCCGCCGGCCTCGCGGGGGAGGCGGGGGGAGGCGCGGGGAGGAGGGAGGGGGAGGCGGCTCCCACAGCCAGCCTGCCAGCCACTGAGAAACCTTTGTATCCTCTCTCGCAGCAACAGGTCACACCACACGCCTTTTCGAAGGAAGTGGGTAAACAGCACTAAGACTACGATTTCTTCTTCTTTAAACTTAATCTTGATTTACTCTTTGGTGCGGGCTGCTGAAATGAGGAGGGGGCGCGAGAAGCTCAGGTGGGGTGGGGGAGGGCAGAGAGGGTGGCTCAGGGCGACTGTCCTCCTAGTATTTCAGGAAACCGGCCTTGCTGGAGTTGGCGTGTCATTGTTCTCCCGCTCCTCCGCACACAGCCCCCAAATCCAGCCGCTACTTCTCTCCCTTTCTTTCTCTCTCCTCTTCTTTCTCTCAGTTCTAGTCTTAAAGAGGCAGCAAACTACTTTCCCCCTTTTGCAAACACTCTCTTCTCTGCCTTGACAACTCCTGATACTTTTTTGAACAAGTTAATAGACAACCATCCATGTGACGGGGGCTGTCAGGGAATAAATGGGTTTCCAGCGACCAATCAGCGCGCGGCGGCTCCTCCACTCGAGCCCGGCCTCGCCGCCGGGTTTTGCATGAAAGGGGGCGGGGCCTGCCGCGCCGCCGGCCTCGCGGGGGAGGCGGGGGGAGGCGCGGGGAGGAGGGAGGGGGAGGCGGCTCCCACAGCCAGCCTGCCAGCCACTGAGAAACCTTTGTATCCTCTCTCGCAGCAACAGGTCACACCACACGCCTTTTCGAAGGAAGTGGGTAAACAGCACTAAGACTACGATTTCTTCTTCTTTAAACTTAATCTTGATTTACTCTTTGGTGCGGGCTGCTGAAATGAGGAGGGGGCGCGAGAAGCTCAGGTGGGGTGGGGGAGGGCAGAGAGGGTGGCTCAGGGCGACTGTCCTCCTAGTATTTCAGGAAACCGGCCTTGCTGGAGTTGGCGTGTCATTGTTCTCCCGCTCCTCCGCACACAGCCCCCAAATCCAGCCGCTCTAGCCCTTCTCCCTAACCTGGCTCTTCCGCTCGCCCCTCTTCCTCCACGGGAGCAGACGCTCGCTAACCCCCTTCTCGCACTGTCCCGACAAGAAGTTAGGAGACGGTAAGCTCTGTCCTCAGAGCCCTCCTTGCTTCCACGTAATTCGCTCTGTTTTAAAAATAAACTCTGCTCGGACTGTGCGGCCTCTAGAGCTGAGGCCGGGCCGGGCCTGGGTAAGCTGCCGAATCCACGCGCTTCCCTGCCCAGCTCAGCCCTCTGGGCCGGAAACCACGGCTTGGCTCTCACCCCAGCCACATCTCCCACCCATCGTTCTCCACTCAGTCGGGTGCAGAGGGGACGCTCGTCTTCTCTCCCATTTTCCTGAGCTCCCCCCGAGGAGGGATCTCAGTGGTGTGGGGTTCCAAAGGGGGCTGGGGGAAGAAAAAGATCCACAGAAGGACGCTCAGAAGTGCTGTGTATGGGGGAGGGTAATCTCAGCTTCCTGGCATCCTAGGGCACTGCTTGGAGGTGGCTTTTGAGCCGCACTCACAAACTCCCTCCCACGCAGAGTTCCCAGGACTCAAGCAGAACCAGCCCTGGCATTTCCCCCACCTACTTCTACCGCGGTGGCCCATCGTCCCGACAGCCTGGGGCTGGGGCTAACCCCGGAGGGGGCTCCGGGCCTGGGAGGCGGGGGTGGTGCTCTCCAGGCACAGGTGCAGGCCGGGCCGGCAGGAGGAAGGCGACCAGGATTGGGGAAGGGGGGAGCCCGGCAAGGCCCGGGCTGGAGGAGGATGGGGTGGGGGGTGGGAGTAGGGGCTCAGGAATCCTGCCCTCCTAGGACCCAAGAGGGTAATTTTAGCCGCTCTCCCATTGTCCCGACGTAAAGATTTCAATAGGTAGGCGCTCAATGCGCAGAGCAATGGCAGCACGTCCGTTACAAATAGGTAGTTTTGTTTCTCTTGTTGTCGCTACACGGAGTCAAACAAAGCCCCGTCTAAGTTTCCTTCCACTCTCTTGTTGGGATCTTTGTGGCTAAAATGCACTTGACTACAAAGCGGGGGGGGGGAGGTCGGGGAGAGGAGAGGAAAAAAAAAAACCCAAAACCTCGATGCCATTTCTTTTTTTATAAAGGGCTTAAACCATCAGGGTTACTTATTTTCTTTCTTCTGTAACACTCTCTCCGCCTCCCTCCTCCCCGATCTACCCTTACTCACCCTAATATAATGTACTGAATAGTATCTGTCGGCCACGTTCCATTTATTATCTTTACAAAACTGTGCATTGTTTTGTTCCTTACTAATCTTCTTCCGATAACCTCCAACTTCTCCAATCCCTACCTTCTCAGGCTTTTCTGTTCCTGTCAAACTCAAGATAAGTATACTCACTGGAAACCCAGAAAAGTTGTGAAAAAGTTGCAGACTTTTCTTAATAAATTATTATTTCCAATCAACCTCTCCTGCCCCTGCAGTTTCTCTTTTTTGCTCTTAAATTATGTTTTGTTTTAGTTACTGTGAATCCGGGAAGGATGAGACTAGCCTTCTGAAAACTCATAAATATATAGTACTCTTCAAAATAAAGCAGTGTCTTCTGTTTCTTCGAGGTGTAATATTAAGCTAAACAAGGACCTGGAGTTTAGGAAAGAGAAAGGGTTGAGAAGGTCTGGAGAAGAGAAGGCGGCCACCGGCTTTTCAGCGCGTCTGGTTTCAGGGATGTGGCTGGTGCGCCCCCTACTGGTGAATTCGCTTTTCCCAAGACTCTTGCTTTCACCTTTAGAAGAAGGTGTTTGGAAATAATTAAAGAAAAATAAAATGAGGGGGATGGGAGTGAGAGCAAATTAATTACACGTAATCTAAACAAAAGAAAAGTTAATATATCGTATAAGCTATGGAACCAAATCACAAGAGTCAGATTTAATTTTCTTAACTTAGAAATGTACATATAACCTCGAGATAACCTGGGAGGTTAAACCGTGGGAGAAAATAGGTACAAATTATGAGATTCAACATATGAACGAATTATGATTGTCCAGACGCCATGAAGGGCAGGCCAAGCATTCACTTTATGATTGTGTACGCATTGATCTATGCTTAATAGCATTATTTGGAAAACTAAAAAAAAGCTTATGGATAATTAAGTTTGAAGAAAAAAAAGCACAAGGGGTTGATGTGGGTAATGGTGGTGTATATGTATTCAAATAAATATTAATAATGGATGGTTATAGAAGCAAATGTTATTAATCTTCTCTCTCTCTCAAAGGTAATAGTAAGAGGCACACATTTTTCCTTGGTATGATATATAAAAGCTTTTATACATTCTCAGATGCATGTGTTTGTGCCTGAACTCTATAATAATGCATTTAAGAGGTTAAAGGGGCTGGCTAGGTCTTTTGTTAATTGCTTTTATCATATAAATAAGCTATGGAAATACATTACAATTGTGTTATCATTGGTTGCATTTATTTACAGCTTTATTTTAATTAAGCCTGCTGTACTTATCAAGGCAATAAACTACTGTGGCTGGCGTTTATGCATAATAATGTGCTATGAAAATAAGATTAAAGAAGATGGTGATAGCAGAAACAATTTTCTCATTAGATTTTTTAGAACATATGCATTAAAAAAATCAGATCACCGGCCACTCTATTTCAATCCAGCACCATCACTGGGCCCTAAATATAATAATAACTATAACAATCATAATAGATGACAGAAGCAGCTCTGTTTTAGGTTTATAACAGACGGCTACAGTACTAATAACAATACACCGTTGACTACTGGGGAATCAAAATAAGACTTGGAAGAGGGTGCTTCATCCTCTGAGAATTTAAAATGTTGTCATTGGCACAATTTATGAAAATTGAAAGTGCTTAATCTTAAGACAGTGTACATTTCCCTTCCTTGGGCAGCAGAAAGCTACACACTTTCAGAGTAAGATTAGAAATTAAAAACAAAAATCCTTAACTCCCAGGATATTCTGATTTGATTTTGTTTTATTATAGGCCCCAACTCCAAATCCTTAACTGATTAAGTGTAACTCAGTTTTATTTAAAAATCTTTTGCATTGATATTTCCCTCCTAAACTCCTCTCATCCCTCCTCAAGTGTTATAGCTGAAGCCAACTAACAATTTTGTGGAGACAGGGGACTGTAGACTTATTTTTTCTCCTTAGTGGCAAATAGAGGTTTAACTTGCAGTAATTAGGTGAGAACTAGCCAAGCATCTTACTATTATGATGCTTGTTAAAAAACGCTTCTTTTCTGCATCTGCATTTGAGTGTGTTCCCCTCCTCTCTTAATCTTCTTATGGAAATGAAGGCAAACGGCAGGGAACCTGCAGAGTCTTGGAGAATGTCCTTGTTAACTGGAATTTCTCAGCATTGCTAATTAGCAGAGTTTGACGACCACCAGTATTGGGGGGAAAGCTCTGTTTAACCACTCACAAACCATTCCGAGGAAGAGCAGACTAATTTTATTTTGTAATTAAAATCTGAAAAG